TAATAAGAAAATTTCAAATTAGATCTCTTTTTTCTCCAAATATTTAGGCTGAAACAAAATGCATATAATTTACAATTTCAATATACCATTTTGATAAAAAAAGAATATCAGTTGAAATAACTTACAATGATACTGACACTATTAATTTGTGTTTTGCTTATGAGCACCATACCTTTTAATATGAAGAAATACCTTTGTAAAGTATTCCTTTTATTCTCCTCCACATCATTTTCTCACTTGATTTCACTTTTTCATAATAAATTAATGTCTAACATACTCACAAAATAAAAATGCTGTTTTTTGCAGAAATGAAAAGGTAAGGTACTTGCCTCATTCAAAACTTTCATCTCATCAGGCTTTGCTGAGCCAACCTGTTTCCAAAAGAGATATAAAATGACAAAATTATGTATTTCATAAAACAGAAGTTACATTTTCCTTCCTTTGAAAATGTCAATCCCCAATGTGAAGTACCATACCTCTCTTCTGATTACAAAAATTAATTCGTATTGAAAAACAAAACCAGTAGTGTGTAGTTTTAACTTCGAATTTCAGGGCATTTTCCAATTAGCTGAGAAAGTGGATTTAAAGCACTTCAAAGTTCCAGTGCTTAACATAAAAGGAGCATAACAATTATTTACCAAAGGACCTGAATAACCAGAAATTATTCTTTATCTAAAGATTGTTTCTGACAATGGGATGTGGAAAGTGCATTGTCTTCTTTCTTTCTTTTTGGTGCTGTACAACATTATAGTACCTAGACAGCTTATGACTCCCCTTTACTAATATAAGTATTACTCTCAAATTCCAATTTTCCATTACTCTCATCTTACCTCATCTTCCATTGAGAGAGAAGAAAATATCTCCTCCAGGCAATATCCATAATCAGAATCAGCGTTATCTTTGGCCATCGCTTTGGAAGATATTTAGAAGTACAAATTTAATGTCAATATATGTATCTCGAGCGCATAAATATATTTAATTTTTGTACAGAATATTGTCTTTTCGATGCGTGACTTTCTCTACAAATATAATTTAAGTCAAAACTTTGTGACGAGCAGTTACCTTCTATACTTATAAGAAGCTGTGAAAAACTTATCAACATGTAATGATTTTCAATATTCCAGGATTCTCATAACCTGCTCAGCGTAATCAATTGAAACAAAACAACAATGGTATAATGGTTGACAATTGCCCCCACACCTGATTCAACGCTTGTTGGATCGTTCATACGTTATAATGAACGATAATCAAGTTCATCGATCGTTCAGAATCATTAAGGTAGACAGAACGTAAGAAACACGTTCATTGAAAAAAGTATTATTAGATTGTGAAACAGAGCAAAGCTGCCATATTGTTGGTTCTGTATCATATTATGCAACAACGCGGTAGTTCCATGTTTCGTTAAAAAAACGAATTAATACTATTCACAATGTTACCCATCATTTACGGCAAGGTTACATATATCAAATAAATAATTGGTGTATTTTGCACTTCTCAATAGTGCATATCATGAAGATACACCGTAATGTTTTATTCCCGGGAAGAGGGTGAATTCATTTCATGAACGGTGTCGTAGATTTTTACTTTTTAGCTCTAACTTTGTCAGAATAAATAATAAAGTAATCGTGCACCGGAAAATGGGGAAATACCAATAGAAAAAACTCTCGTTGCTGGGCACTAGTAACGAAAACGAGGATAAATCTTGTTCCTGTATAGGTTATAGTAAATTGCACGATAGAGATTAACACGACAGAGATTTGTGGGTTCTTGATACTGATAAATCGATTGACGGCAAAACGTCCGTCCATCTGTGCCCAAAGCTGGGTCAAAACCGTTGAGCCTAATTCTCAAAAAAATTATATTCCTCGATGAATTCGAATGAGCTTAGGTCCCTTAGAGTTTGAAAAGGATATTTTGATTTTTGGAGGTACTTTACATGAATCCGAAACTATTTCTAAAGAACTGCTCCAAGATTTTTTATTAAACTTTGTCTTCGGATAGCATAAAGGACGCTTAAGAGAAAGACGCAGGGCAAATTTTCGTCAAATTCCCTTATTTTCCGAAAATTGCAAAAGTTTAAATTATTTTCGGCGTCATCTAACAACTACAAAATTGAAGTCAGGTTTTTCCCCTTAAGGCTAAATGTACCGAAAAATACTTGTAGGACAATTCAACAGATCGCAGCACTGTCACAGGGGAATTTACTTTACCGATAAAGCCTGAACCAATAAATCGATTTTCGATTTGTAAACGGCATTTGACGCCTTTTTAAAATAGAATTTACACTACGAAGCCCTTGTTGGGGAAAAAAAAGAAGCAAAAACTCGAATTTGAAATTGGTGCTCGAACTTTCGAGAAAAAATTTTAAAAAAATGTGGGCGATGGCGACATTCTTCCTGAATCCAACGCCGTATCAATCATGCAAATCGAATGAATAGGAGCGTCGTAAAGTTAAAAATTGGAAAACACCTCGTCTCCTTCCCCTTCCACTCCGTTGCGTCATCATCCTGTTGTGGGCCATCTCTCGATGCGGCGGAATGGCCAGCCCCGGCGGCGTTGTGTCAGCCTCGGCAGAGGAGGCCGAAAATGCGGGATAGGCAAGCCAGGCAGTCGGTTTATTCTTTCGTCACTTTGCATCTCAATATATTTTCCTCCCACATATCAAACTAGTGATGCTATAACATAAGCAAATTATCTCGTATCATTTGTAATAGTAGTATAAAACAATTTATATTATTCACATATTTTCGCCTTCCTTCGAACACCGTCATAAAATTGTTTGAGGCATTACTCAAAATATCGATTCCGTTTGAATCTGAATTCAAAAAGAAAATTGAACTAATTGTGTAAATATCACTAATATTCCATCTCCTCAGATCTCATTTTACATATACCACTATGATCTTCCGTTATCATTCCACTACCGGAAAGTATGAGCAGATATTACAAACGAACACTTTTATTCTTCGATTCGATTTTAATCTCAAAGCGGCATTCGTCTCCTTGATAAAATTCACTTTGTGATCCTCTTTTCCCCCACATAAAATAGCTGAAGCTAATTTTAAAAATGTTTTCACACTTTCGGACAAGTTTGAAAAAGCGGTTAAATAGTGCGCTGTCATTGTCGAATCAAATTATTCTTCCCGTGAATATGCTAGATATTCCTAAACCAGGCGAATTTTGGGGAGTTTTAATTTTCAATATTAAAATTTTGAAATTAAATTACATGATGTTTGCATTCACAATCCTTGTGCCAGTATCAACATATGAGAAAAAATTCACATACAATGCATGTAACATTATTTACATTTATATTATTACAACACTTAACCAGATGACATTAAACGATTAAATTCGATACACAAGTTTAAGTCCCAAGTAAAATATTTTCTACTGCACAACTGTTTCTATACAGAGACTATAGAGAGACTATTAGAGACTATAACCAGCATCCAAAAGAAAAGTAATATTAATTTTAACAGTGATATGTGATGTAATATTTACTATTTGGACTGAATAATTCTAAAGAATCTGTAACAATTATTGTACTTTAGTTTGTGGGTTCCATCTCGATCAGGTTTTCGTCTGGTCCTCGAGCAAAAATAAATAAATAAATAAATAAATAAATAAATAAATAAATAAATAAATAAATAAATAAATATTGTCTTTGCTACCGTCTTGTCCGAATCTCGGAGAGAGCGCGATGAAAATTCTGTTTTTTTCGAACAAATTTCTTGGTTTTCTGTTAATTGCGGTGCTACGAGTAACTTATTGTTCAGTTAGCCGATTGTTTATAGCAGAGTCAAATAAAGAGCGACACCTTTTTTGCGTAACAAATTAGCAACAAAAAATCGACATATTTGAGTTTAACTCCAAATTTTTTAAACTCTGCTATCCTAATTTTACGGATCTTGTGAGGAGGTGGTCCTGGAATTCCATATCCGACGCGGCACTGGAAGTGTGGTTCGCAAATAGACAACTTTGCGAATGCCCGTACCAAGTTCACTAATACTGATTGGCTCGCTCGCTCGCTTCCTTTTTTTCGTATTGTACTTCCCGCTCCATCTCCACTATCGCTGCTACTGATCATTCTTGAGCCACTAAGTCACCTCAATTTACGGTACTTGTTCGAAGGATGACCGAGTAAAAATCGGAATAATTTATACACACAATTTTTGAAGATAAATTCAGTTCTATACTTCAGTTATAGAGGATATGAGCATGTCTGCCCCAATTATAGCACCGGTAGTGTGATTTGTGAAATAAAATAAACTAGTGATCCCACGGAATGGCGTAGACTTTCTCGAACTAGTTCGTTGCCTTATTTCTTTGCTTTGGGCTATATTTTCGGTTTTATACCACCCTCTTCCCAGCTGCCATCCATTGCTACCTAAAGATATTTTTTCACATTTTTGTTTTCGATTTTTCGGTTCCTTAATGATAGAACCGAAACATGTCTTTAAGAATACTACAGAAATGCAAAACCTCGTCATACATGGACATTTTCGTTGAAAATTTTTAAGAAACTAACGTTTGAGTGTTTCAGAAAATGCAGAACTGTGAGCTCAATTTTTCAGAATACTTTTTAGTTTTCGAGGAACTTTATGAGTAGAGATCGGATCTTTATGTTATGACATATTTTTTGTCTTTCTACTTACCGATCTAAAAAAAAATAATTTTGACGTCGCCGTCCTGACACAATATCAACATTTTTGGTTACATATTTTCACATATTTAATACTATATTACATATTTTGCTATGTTCACAAAATATTATTTTATTCTATGAATTTTCTTCAATTTTATGAAAATAAGTATTAAAAAACACTTTTATTTCCCACATCGTTACTGCGTGCTGCCAACTCGAGGATCGCTACATGAAGACGCGTTCTCACAGTCCTGCTCGTCTGCATCAGTTATCTCAGTGGCAGGAAGTGCTCGTCAGTGACTGAGATCAGTTTGACCTTCAGGTGTGAAAAGTGTCACTGACTTCGCGTCTCGTAAATTTTAACTTCCAGTTCCGAGAAACTTGCCGATCGTCGACGTGTAACTCTTCGCTGAGAATGCTGCACGCTGCAGTGATTGTTTGCTGGTCGTAGATATCGCCAATTTGTAGGATGGTTTCTAATGCGTCTGGTCTGGATGCTAAACGACCGTACTCAAAAGTAGTAGATGAAGGTTTTACAACGGACGGGAAAGTTGTATGGTCCAAAGAAATCATCAATTTGTACTCCCAAAATTATTTTTAAAATGTTTGTATTGTTTTTAAAATTAATTCCGGATTTTTTTATAAACGTAATTTCGTATTATGCTCGTTTTATAATGTGTATTTTAATATTACATATTTCATCCTATTTTACATATTTATTACATATTCTTACTGTTTTCATTACATATTTATGTACATATTTTGACATTTCATACTACATATTTTTCCGGTCTCTATGAGACATTATTTAAAGCACGAGTACTCGCAAACGCAATAATGTATTCAAGTCGCCGGTAATCTAAACATTAAAGACGTGAGAAAAATGTCAAAAACAAACAAACAATTGTGAAAGTTTTGAAAAAACAAAATAATTGAATTGATGGCTTATTTTACGAGGCGAGACCCGAGCCATCAGGCCCGCTCTTCAGTCTGGCCACGAAAATTTCGCTACGCTCCTCTCACCAACTAGCGGAGAGAGGAGATATTTCTTGGGCAACGAACAGGCGATTTGAATTTAGCTCAGAGGCGTCATTTAGACTTGACGATCTTTTACATGCAAGTAAATCTACTAACATGGGAAAGCCGGCTTTACTTCCCCTCCGAAAGAAGGTATACGAATGATGTTTTCGCCTTTAAAAATTCACGGCTTCGATCGGGTTAGAGCTTCGGTTTCGATCGCATTAAAATAATATAGCAATA